ATTGATAAAGCCAAATGTATTGCTTCAGTTAAGTCTCTCTCTTAATATATTATTTAATTAATTTCTTAAAGCTAAACATTACACTTCCATTTGACTTTTAGTTTGGAAAAATACAATTTTCTACAATAAATTAAAACTAATGAAAACAATAGGCAAGTAAATCAAAAATGGAAATGATGCACAATGCATTGTTAAGAGTTTCTTTAAAACAATGCAAAGATCTATAAAATACATCCTTGCGGCCACTACATGCTCATCTTCATCCAGGAAGAAAAGTGACAAAAGTCAGACTGAAACAAAGACACAAAGTCACCTACCTACATGCACTGTAAATTTTCTCTGCCTTTCTGTATCTCTAACACACACTCCAATAAAGGCTGTCTCATTCATCACAGGACACAACAGTCAAGACAACTGGGCTTCACTTAACTTTTTCAGGGTTACTCAAGCGTCAAACGCATGACTTTTAGTCGTCGTTGTTCTCCCATCTGTTATGCTTCAAGGAGCCAACATCCCTCTTTTATTCCAAGACAAAGTTTAAAGAATGGAAACTCTTGCAGCATTACAGCATCGATCTTAAACAACCAACACTTTTTTAAACACCATTGTTCAAACACTTTGCTGTACAGCACAGATTACAATTACTAAAACCTAATTAAACAGTAAACAAGAAAAAAAAAAGTTGCTATTGCATAGTTGTCTAATTTTTGGACAAGATTTAAGAGGGGATTTTACCTTTATTGAATACATAATTTAACTTCAATAAATACTATTTATGTCATTATTTGATATGTTTTGTTTACATGTGTGGTTTACATTATTTATTTATTTTGAATATTGATTTGTTTGTAAGTTACATCGTATAAGAACCATTTTTCAGTGATATGTTGCACTGGGGACATTTTAAGTTATTAAAAAAGCATGTGCAGCAGGAAAAGTTTGACGCTCTGTCTAAAAGTTTAAGAAGTTATATTGCCCATTTTCTTTTGAAGATTTACGTTTGTCCCAGTGGACTCATTCCCTCTTTGGTTGTGTGCAGCCAGTGAGGTATGTTTATTTGTGTTATGTTGCATATTTGTAGTAAACGTATGTGCAATATATGAATAGTTTTCCTGCTTGCTCTCAATGAAGGCAGACACTTTTCCCTCCCATTCCTGCTTCCCCCCCGTTTCTGCTCTTTGTCCTGTGATCCTTATCGAAGCCTCTCTACATATCTTCCGAACTGTAAATCATGGATTTGGTCAGCTGGTCTCTCAATGCAACTGATAAAATTTTCTCAACAAGAAGACAGGGTGAAGGAGAGCACTCTTGCTCTGACGGGACATGTGCAGCTGGATACACAAAGGATTCCTGAGGGCATGGAAAGATTGTGTGTCTGTCCGTATTGTCGGATGAGGATGTAGAAGAGTCAGAGTCAGAGAGTCAGAGTTTCTTTACTGTCATTCGCACCTCCTGTGGTACATGTGGTGGAACGAAATTATGTACACAGGGTCCCAGTTACATCCAAGAAGAAGAGGCATACCTAATTAGATTTATGATAACAGGATTTCTGCTTTTTGGAGTTGGTGGTTACCTGGCATATCGATAAATACGGACAACGTCTGCAGCTGTTCTGGCCTTTGTGAGACTGACCAGCTTGTGCGAAGAAATGTGTAGTGCGGTCAGCACTCAGATGCTGTGTGAGCTGAGCCGTAAGCTGGATGCAACTTCTGAAAATCGCAGGCCACTTGTGGCTCCTGAAACTCGCTGGCATGAAGGAATCAAACTCGAAGAAGCTACAAACTCGGCCCGGCAATGCTGACCACAAAAATTTAGCTGTTTGAAGTCGCCATTGAGATGTAACAGTAGAACTATAAGGCAAACAGAAATCAAGCAAAGTCGGCCTGACCCAAAATAACTATTGTTATCTCAAACTGGCTCCCCTGTGTCAGCCTTGATTTGGCCAACTACCCCAAACTCTCCTGGATGTTATGTGAACAAGAAGCTCTCCCCCCCCCCCCCCCCCCTTTCCCAAGTACATCTGTGGACCTGTGTCAGAGCTGAGCTGGCGATAGATACCATATCTTATCAGGACTATGGGGACTATGTGGCAGTGGCCACAGATAAACTCACCACCTTCGTCGGCCGTCATCATGCATATGTATTATGTCATCAATATATTGCTATTTCTGTGCTGCATTTTTATTTTTGCAACTTTCACACTGTGTCCCATCTAGGACACACATTTTTATTTTACACCTCCTCTTCCCTCGTGTTTCTCTTTTCCTTATCTAAACGAAAAGGGTAGCGCCTCCCATGAGGCCGCATCCTCATGCACCACCGTCTACCCATGTCTGTTTGTTTGTGCTTTACTTGGATGGGCTCTACTGAAATGTAATTTTGTTGTGCTTCGGTGCAATGACAATAAAGCTGATTCTGATATGTATAATTTGTACACTGTAATGCATTGTTATGCATTTTGAACAGTTCGATGGTGGATTTGATGACCGTAAGTGCCGTTCAGATGAATAAATCCATCAGAAACAAAAGAACTACGTTGTCATCTATTTCCTGGAGGGAGTGATACAGGATATGCAAAGTATATGCAATATGCTGTATAGACTGTATATGCAAAGTTGAAAAATAACTCAATATTATCACAGAGTCCATATTGCACCTTTAGCTTTTTTCAATAATTTTCAACATTCTTTAATTTATTTTTCTTGCATATTATAGGGATCGCACCACTGACTGCAGAGTTCCTTGAACAAATCGATCTTAATAATGAGCAACACTCTTCGTAGGTGAATTCTACAATCTGGGATGCAACGTGGCAGTGTTTAAGGTTGGATCAAGGAGAACTTGTGTTAATAATGAAATCAGCAGTTTCTAAAAACATCATAATAAACAGTTCACAGTCAAAGCCTTGTTAAAACAGAGGAAAAAATAGGTTAACTTGTTGGACAAGAATAACTTTCATCTGTTTCTTTTTTATTCTGTTACAATTCGGCTTGACAAAGGAACAATAAAACCAAAACTGTAATGAAAATATTTAGCAACGTTATACCTTGCTTCACTATAAAATGACTAAACTGCGAGAAAATGAATGAAAACGATGAAAGGTATTTCTGTCAGTTAAACCGGTTTTCAAATTAACCTGCAATCATGTTTTCTTCCACTGAAATGGACACAAAACTGCTAAAGATGGCAGATGTAGCCCACTTTAATTAGCTGAAATTGTGGTGGAGAGAGACTGATGTGTAATGAGTTTTGGACTCATGCCAACAGTCAGACACAAACCAAAATGAAATTGTTAATTTCTTCACTAGAATATCTTGAGGGGTATCTGATGAAATCAACTGTTTCACTGGCTGCATTTGGTCTGTTTATTCTATGTAAATATTGTTTAATTTATATTTTTATTTATTTATTTGTTATAGTAATACTATTTTCTGTAAAAAAAAAAAATAATCTGCAACTAAACAATTATTTTTCCATTTCCTTTTCTAAAAAAAAAGACTTTGTATAGCGTAATTACTTCAGTGAACTGTTAAGCAGATTACATACAGGTACACTGCTACATCAACCCTGTGAAGATAGGAACTATTCAGTAAGAAGTGTAGCCCCAAAGCTGACCCCCTCTATTATTTGACATATTCTCTAGCTCATCATCTTGACATCATCTTATTAATTACTATATTAAAGATTTTGAATACTGAATGTAAAAAACTATACAAGTAGAAGTATTACGTCCGAAAGTCTTTACAAAAAACATACAGTACAATGCAACACAGACAAAAAGACATGAAGCAAAGGGAGAGCCAAGTCCTTCAAGACCTTCTTCCAACCACCAACATTCACTTGATCAGCTGAGATGGGGAAAAGGGAAGAGAGTCAGGTGTTTCAAGTCATGGCAGCCAGCTTCTCACTGCTAACCTCTGGGGAAGACCTCCAGACAGTGAAAAAAGTCATACTGCAGTATATCCACACTTCTCCATTTCCTCTCACTCAAGCATTCAGTTCTCACAGGAGCCGGGGAATCAATACTGGCATTGGAGGGGAAAGCAGCTTTCCTGCTCACCTGCTCTTCTTCAGAGCTAACACTATAAATTACTCGACATTGGATTTATTTATTTTTTTATTTTACTACTTTAAATGTCCTTCTTTGATTAGGAGCAGATTATTCGTGTGTCGGGAGGCTATCACTCTATCCCCATCCAATGTGTAAACTCAGAGTAAATAAACATCAGATGAAAGGAGACAGATCTCAGGTTATGTGTTAGCACGTAGCATATGAGTACACCCACTCAATAGCTTACATACTCTGGGTTTTTATTTGGTTATTAATAAAGCATCCTGGAGATGGTGCTGGAATTTTAAGTAGTTTTTTTTCCTCTTCTCCCCATGTAAGATGACCTTAGGGTGTTACCGAATGACTTGATTTTCATTATTGATCAAACTTACACGCTGAGGACCCTTTTCAATCCAAGAGGACATTCAGAAAAGAGCAGGGACATGGTTAATTTAATTTGGGGGTAGAGATACTCGGGTTAAAGTGAAACACTCTGTTATCACAACAGGAGAGGTGCCACGGGAAAAGATGGTTCTATGGAGAGGTTTGTGTGGCCAGCCAAGAGATGAAATCAGGGATAGGCGATAAGATGGTGTGAGGGGCTAGAGCCCCTATTAGAGGCCCTCGGGGGACAGGCAGCAGTGGCAGGGTGCAGTAAAAATAGCCATGGGCATGATTTTGCTCTTGGGACACAGGATGGAGTGAAGAGGGAGATCTGATCAACATTTCACTGCGAGGCAGCCAGATCCATTCCCTACAATCTCTGGGGTGTCACCTATCATCCCAAGTGACTTAAACTGCTTACAACTGCCAGACACAACACAAACAAGAACAATCACGGCTGCTACAGATAAAACAGCACAAAGAATGTTCTTATATCATCCAATGCATGCGATGCAACGACAGATTTGCTCATGTAAAAGTGCAAATAAAGTAATAAAAAGGATATGGACATCTTTGCCACAAACTTATCTTGTGGTTCATCCGTTTTGGGGAAGTTTTCAATATCATTCTCGAGCCTCTGAATGTGACGCTCCATGGTGCTCAAACTGCTCTTCAGGATTTCAGCAGACACTGAAAAATAAAAATAAAACATGAAATAAAACAGATTAAAATCAACATTATAGATAAAAAAATAAGGACAAAAAAAAGCAGAATAGAATAAACAAAAGCCATCGCACATTTTGCATTATAATAAAAAAACATCTGTGAATGAGTCACATTGTATGTTTTAACATGAAGACTTCTATAAACTGAAATTGTGTGCGTGTTAGAAAGCAGCACATGTGAGTATAGTGTGTGTGAGTGTGTGTGTGTTCTGCTGTGGCTAATTAATCAGTCTGTAATCACCGTTTGCAAAGTTGCTGTAGAATCCACCGTATTCAGATTAGGCCTTTCAAGTGCAAACTTCAAAAAGCAAGCAGTGTCTAATGGGATCAGACGGGACAGGGACACGGATGCAGTAGCATGTTTACGTTTCTGTTAAGGAGTTGGATTCACTGATGCACTTGAACACAGATGCAGAGCCATATAACAACTTGCAGGCACACATCCATCCATCCATCCATCCATCCATACATCATCTTTTACCCGCTTCTTCCTTTTCGGGTCACAGGGGTCACTGGTGTCCATGTACAGCAGTCACTGTGTGAGACGTGGGGGACACCCAGTACGGGTCGCAAGTCCATCACATGGACACATAGAGACAAACAACCATTCACAATCTCACCTAGGGGCAATGTAACGGTAGTTACCAATCAGCCTAACATGCATGTTTTGGTCTTTGGGAAGAAACCGGAGTACTTGGAGAAAACCCACGCATGCACAGAGAGAACATGCAAACTCCACCCAGAAAGGCCCCCGGCCCGGATTCGAGCCGGGGTGACCTGCTCGCTGAGAGGCAGCAGCTCTACCAACTGTGCCACTGTGCTAGCACAAATACAGTGTTTAAAAGCAATTTAAAAAAAAAGACTAAAAAACATCAAATCTGTCTAAAAAACACATTTAAAAAAGCTATGCAGAAATCAAGCAAATAAATGTGTTCCTTGAAGTTTTGTAAATAAATAATTAAGCTCAGAAGTTTTGTTTTTTCATTGCAATATCAGCAAAAATTTATTTTATTTTATTTATGTTTTCATTTTGTTTGTCTTTGATATGAATTACTAGTTAAATTCTTTGGTATGATAAAAAAAAAAAAAAAAAAAAAAAAAAAAACATTTAAAAGCCAATGCTGTGAAGTTCAGAGGTGAGAACAGCTAAATAAGAATGAAAGATGAAAAGATGAATACACTAGGCTCCAACCAAATATATGACCTGGGAACATTTAGTATGAAAAAGCCCAGTAAAAAGTTCTGAGGTTACCAGAATTGCTGGGTGAATGTTTATCAGGAATAAGATTTAAGGAGTTAAGAGCTCAATTTCTTGGAAACCCAATGATTAATTCAAAACGTGTCAGCTCATAAGGTTGAGAAAGCTCTAAAAACACTGCTCTTTTGGGTTGACATGCACCACCTTTTTCAGCCTCCTGGTAGTTTAGCCAAGTCTTTTCTGCTTTGGTAACAGAAAAGAAGAAGCCAAGAAACTGAGCTGATAGGGGTTAAAAAGATCTTTAGAGAAGAAGAAAATAAATAAATATAAATGGATAAAAGGGCGTAAGTGTAAGAATAGTTAGTGAAAAATAAAACACCTTTTTTGCTTCCTTTGCTAAAAGGATACACACACACACACACACACATAGATAGATAGATAGATAGATAGATAGATAGATAGATAGATAGATAGATAGATAGATAGATAGATAGATAGATAGATAGATAGATAGATAGACAGACAGACAGACAGACAGACAGACAGACAGACAGACAGACAGA